AAAGGCACACTCGCTGTACACACACTATACGCCGCGCGGAGCGTCTGCGGAAAGATGAAGGGACATAGGACAGTAACCTTCCTGAGTGGACGAGAGTTATGACCGCGCGCCCAAGATGAAACAGGTGTTGATAACTTAGTATAAACAATCTCTCAGATCGTCGCACGAGAAACACATGTACACATATGTGCACACATGAGACGGCAGGTGCACATACAACCTTATCGACACTGAAATTCCTTACACTTATGAAAATATCAGAGTAAAATAATGAAAATAAAAAGATATAATATACTTAACTATGAATTCCCTTAACTAATTGTAAAACTACTCTCGTGGTGATTAAATCTACGATTGTTCCTCGGTAAGCTACGCCTGCTAACTACGTCTGACCCGCCCTTGGGGAAAAACATCCAACAATAGCAGCCGTCCTCCCTAAGACACAATTCACGACCAGAATGTTTGAGGTCAGTCTCGCTGCCAACATGACCCCCTCTATGATGATAACTCAGCTACACTCTAGGTGACGAAGCACCGTCTGCGGCCTTATCGTTAAGATCTAGAACTCGAGGCAACTCCATGTACCTCAGAAATGTATCAGTAAGCGTCCTTCACTGACAATTTCCCAGACAACCTGCCGAACAGATTGCTGTACAACCTAAAACTGGGTTGTACACCCCTGGAAGCTATGCAGAGAAACGAGAACTAATTTCTGTCCATAGATTTCAGAGCGGAGCGCATACCCCAAACTTTCTCTAGTTTCCCGTATGTCGCACTAATCATAACACTTAAAATACGTGTGGCCCCGAGCAACGAAATCGCGAGCCCGCCTAAACTAACAAACAACGACGTGGCCAACTGAGCAGCCGCCGGCGCGCAGGACTCCAATAAAGTGTGAACACACCCACAATTTATTGGACCACCGCTAGCACCATTGTAACACCCCTCTATTGTGACACCACCCTAAAATGTACCACTATAATGGAACACCACTATAATGGAACACTAAACTATCCTGAGTAACACTTCCCCATTGGTTGCACTTGGTAACACTGTTATGGGCTGACATATGATGGAAACACCGGAACCAAAGGTACACTGCCAATAAGGAACTGCTAACACAGAGATTAAATACGCTGCCACCATCTGCCTTTGACCATTGAAACTATATCAAGCAACGAGGCAAGAAACATTGCTTGACTTGGAGAGTACTTCTATGACTGTCATTAATTATGAAAACGGTTGTCAGCCACTATATCCAAAAGGCTAAGAGGATTCAACAATTGACACAGACGGGAAATTTAACGAGTTTATTGAGACCAAAATTATGTCAATCACTACTTATAAATGCTACACTAACACTGGCAAAAAGTTAAGAAATTTGGACATGGAACAAAAACTCAGAGATCACACACATTACCTTAAGCTATCTCTCTCCCGGGCTGAGATGTTCTTCACAGCCCCGCTTTCGATCCCGGTGTACCGCCCTCTGCCCTCCTATGTTCCTACAGGCCCTCTATATACAACCCCCCACAGGGGGGAGGGGGGAGATCTGCTGTTGCTACCCACCAAAAGTGTACAAACACTCAAGAAATATTTCAATAAGCTTGTTTGACATTCACCATACACTCTTCAAGAGAGGAGTTATTAATTACGTGTGTGACTGACCTCTGACCTGGCCAAAAGGGGGAGATCCAGGGATGTTTACCCATAAGAATCTGGAGTTTAATTTCCTTGCATGAAATATTACGTACTTGAAACTATGCTGACTAAGACTAACCCAGGAATTTTTAATCAATATACAAGATAAACTGGAGGTCATCTGGGCTGACCTCTTGGAGAAGACTTCCCTGGGTGTGAACTCTAAGGGGGGGGGGGGTCCTGGGTGTTACAGGGGGAGGCCTGGTCGAGGACCGGACCGCGGGGACACTAAAGCCCCGAAATCATCTCAAGATATACATTAACACGAGGCAGACGGGTAGGCGACAGAGTAGAAACGGGATTCAGGTCTCATCCATCAATCAGCCACCCCCCCCCCCCAAACACGCCCACCCGGTGGCGTTACATCACAACCCACACCCGTCTGACTAGGTGCCAAACCTCAAATTAGTGCAAGAGACCCAGTGAATACACACCCCAGACTAACTCCTACAGCCAGGGTTCAACAACGCTGCTTACTGCCAGAATCTAAGCAAAACGCCACTAACCTATTTACTATGCTTATATAAATCAGATTCTAAAAGAAATAAGACCCAGGAGTAGGACGAATGTTGTGGCAAATATCCCCCAGTTTACAGTCATGCTAGATCATGCACAGCTTCTCGTTGTCAAGAAGAAACTTTCAATGCAATATATAAATACTGTATTCGCATATACAGTACAATCAATTGTTATACGTATTTGTATACAGTACCATGATATTGGTCAGCCCCTGCATCCATCCTCGACTCAATTCCATTACATCCAGCGGTTGACCCCACAGACGCATTCATAAATTTTAACATGCTGTTCATTTAAAACAGAAATCTTCTCAAATATAAATTAATATTATAAAGTATTAGCATATTGTGAATATATAGGCATAGGTTGGCGAGTACTTTTATTTGTAGAACGTGGGTGAAGCATTTATAATGTGGTTCGAACAAAATTCGTCAGTGAAGCACTTGTTCCGGAAATGTTCGAATGTCATCAGTTGAGAGTCGCGTGTAAACCGTTTTTCATTCATAAACAGAGGGTTTGGCGGGTGCATAGAATGGACTTTGGCATTTGTGTGTAGGCTCGTCGCTGTGGCGGCCGTTGCCCAAACGCATTTATTAGTTTTAATTTATTGTGTAGGCATTTTATGATTTTATAGTAAAGTTATCCAAGAGATGGGCTCGAGTTATTTGGATAGGGGCGCAGTTCCAGTGCTTACCATAGGCACTATTTTCCCTAGATACGTCTCTGCAAACAGCAGACGACCAACTGACAGGACAAATCTTTCATGCGGCATATTATATATTTTTTTTAACTCAAATACGTATTAATTATATTGCGGGTTTGTACATAGTTAAATGTAAGCAATGTTAGGCAATGTATTATCTGTTACCTTGGATAGGATGCAGACGATGAGTCACAATAACGTGGCTGAAGATACGAATGAGGGGAGGGAATTATCAGGGGGAAAGCGCCAAGCCATTAGACTATATAGCACTTTGGAAGGGGTGAAGATACGACGAGCAAACCACACATCAAAAGCTGGAGCAACACGTTTCGGTCCGTCCTGGACCATTATCAAGTAATCTTGGTTTAGGAGGATGTTTAAAATTCTGATAAAAGGAACCGATTAAGCATGCTCGAGTATATTCGGGCATGGTCGAATTTTAGTAATGTCAGTTAGTTAGTAATGTCAAAATACAAGAACTGTGCGTTTATGAGAAAATATTGAGACACTACAATGGGGTCGAACCCACATCTTCGATAAGCCAGTATCTTAATGATTGTAAACCTGATAACGGTTTTGATAATAAAAACTAGTTTTCTAGGGCATACACTAATATAAAAATAGGAATAGGGGGTATCCCAGACGGGACAGAAATGGTTGGGCACGTTTCCTATCACCTAACGCCTCTGTTCACCTAGCAGTAAATAAGTAACCTGGAGTTAGTTAGCTGTTGTATTTTATTCTGGGGAGGGTCAATAGTTAGACCTTGGGAGACCTCGATATAAGCCTAACGTATAAATATACACAGACTGACTGACAAAATGAATGAATGAATTATTTATAGTACTTGGCTTGTGGAGTCAACATGTGGGAAGACCATTCGGCATTAAAATCTTTTACTATTGCACTATTAATTCATACAAATTTAGGTCAGATGCACTGCAATGTGCGCACATTATGCAGATCAAGACATGTCAATGGCAGGAGCCAATAGTATGATCACACCATGTTATTTAAGGCTGGTCGTATTGGGACGACCTGTAGCCTGCACACCCTTATTCTCTACATTATCAACAGAGAACATTTTCATTTAGACTGTTCAACATTACCCAAGATAAAGAACATTACAACAACGGTGGCTATAATTGATCTAATTAATGTAATTTATCCAAGATGGCATACTAGTCAAACATCCCAAGTGTGCCTGTTGTAGAATGTACAGTTTTACCTGAATTTACCCGAGGGTCATTATATATCTAGTGGCATTGACAAGGAGAGGACGCCGGCGGCTTGTCAAAGTTCCTCCCATTTGTCCTTATGGTTTTATCACGAGCTTGCATGTCTGGTATACTTGCTTTTCTCGTGACCAAGTATAACGTAACCTTAGCTAGAGTAGTGTAGTGTAGTGTTGTGATTGTGACCTTGACACCTCGACTAGCTGTGCAGAAATGCAATCACTGTCGTTATGTATAAATGGACAGGTACACTGATAGGTGTGTATGTGTGTATGTTGGCCTTCCATTACAGTTTGGACTTCAATGTTCATTGATTTGAACAATGAACAGATTTGTTCATTGGACTTCTGTTCGTAGTCAATCTGCCCGGTGTTGTTTCCCTATCAATATGCTTTACACCTGTGATTATTTTGGGTGATTGCAGGCGATACATGAAAGTGACGTTATTTTTAAGAGGACGGGTTGGATACATATAAATGCATTAATACACGATGGTTCAAAGTGACTGTATAGCAGCAACAAGCTTAGCCTACGACATGTAGACTTAGGACATATGGAACGAATTTATGAATATGTTGCTTTCAAGACCGTTCGTCATTGGCAATCCGATTGGCTACATTAAAATAATATAATGGCTCTAATAGGTGCCACTGTCAACGTTGAAGGAACATAACTTTTAGATAAACTCCTTAACACGCCAAAACTTTGTCTATACAACTCTTTTTCTAGTCAAGAAGTTAGGTCACGACGATGATGATATATAACCAGTATAAAATAAAAAAAATATCACGATTTAATAGGTTGTCCCAAAATCTTCCCCAAAGAGCCTATGGGGTGCCTACCTCCCAGTACTGCTGCTGGTCACACTTCATAGCCGTCTCCTCCACGCGCTGCAGACGATCAGAGTAAATCTTGGTGAACTCATCAAGGAGGCCAAGCATGAGGGAGGAGCTGCTATTCTTGGGGTCATCTTTCCCTCCTCCTCCTCCCTCTCTGCTGCCATCACCAAGTGCCACCACCATCTCCCTCCCAGACACCTCCACACTACTCTCCTCACCCTTATACCGTTCCTCTCGCGACTCCATACTTTCCTCTAGAGACTCTGTTATACTATCCACAATCAGAGTATCACACAGACACTAGATTAACAGCTGCGAGCGCCATAATAGTAGAGAAGAGAGCGGTGTACGAGTCCCGTGTCACATCCCAGCCGCCACTGACAGCGACCGCCGCCGCCCTCACAGATGGCACCACAAGCTCCACCACTCTTCAAACACATCTCTCAACGTTTTAGGGCTAATATACACATTTGCAAACCTTCTGAGGGTATTTTTATTTTGTGTGTATGTGGCTTCCTCGTACCGTTTTATATTTTACTGAGATGATATTGGCGATTGTTAATAAGCGGACTATAGGTTGAGCAATTAAGTAATACCGTTGTTTGCTGCAATTTAACTAGCCTTAAACCTATATTCTGCTTTTTCACTATTAAATATTATTGCTATTATTATTATCATCGTTATTAATATTATATTGAATTAATAATTTAGTTGTAAGGTACTTTTAGTAAGTTGGGAGACGTCGTCTGTCTGTTTACATGTCCAGATGATCGAGCTGGGCAGCGGCGAGCCGAGCCCTGGCCGCGACACACCAGACCAGGTCCTCACTGCCTTCCCTCGTATCTGTGGTCACATAGCCTACGAGGAGTTCTTCAGGGAGTTCCTGGAGAAGAACAAGCCATGTGTGTTCTCCAGCAGCTTCACCGAGGAGTGGCGGGCGAGGACGGACTGGGTCACACCGTCGGCCGGGGCTCACGTGCAGTACTTGCAAGAACATTTTGGTAGTTGCAGATCTCCTCAATGTCTGATTTATTGTTATAGTTATTTATTGAATATGATGATTAAAGGACTTGTAGGTGATCATGCATTAGTTATACATTTATACACAGCTTTTTATTACTAGGTAGACCTATGCCATGTGGAATGGTTCAAGACCTGGCCCCAGTAAATAGGCTGTGACATCCCGCTAGTTATGAAGGTTTGCTAAACCACGTATGGTGATTACCTGCATTATATTTTGTAAAAGAAAATATTTGCAGGCAACATGGGATGTCCTGGAGCCTTTGCAGGCTCTTGGTGGCATTCTTTGATGTCAGTTGAGTTTCAGTACGGTCTCTGTCGTCTGGCCTCAGTTCAGTGTTTTGTCACGCTCTTCATGCTGTTAATGCTCTGTTTCTTAGGTCCTTATTTCTAAGACCAGCCTTTCCAAATCCTCAGCCTGATGGTTCAGTCAGGCAGCCAGCTGTTTGTCCCCGATCTAGGGATGTGCTGATGCTTTTCCTTTTTCCTTGGTTAAAAAGCTACTTTTGGAAGTCCTGATGATGATGACTTCTCACTTTATGTTGGTTGTCCTTCAGTCTTCCCATGCTTGTGTGTGCTTGGGTGATTTGTGTGTGTCCTTTTAATCTGTACTTTTTTTTTTTTCTTCCTAGTTTCTCCCACGGATTGAACAAGTTTGCTTTTCTGTTTTTTGAGAGTAATCTGCTAACTACTTAAGGATTTCTTCAAGAAATAAATAATTGAATGCAATGAGATGCCTATTTCTGGTGGGCCCCCAGTACCTCTCTGCTACTGCCCGGTTTCCTTCTTCCCTGTGAAGTTGTGAAGTTTTGCGTGGGCTGATCCAGAGTGAGGAGGATGGTGGGTTGAGACCCCAGGGAACCTGAGTTGCCATCTGGTGGCAGTCAGATACATTATTATTATTAGGGTATTTACCTAGAGGTGCCTAATTTCCATTAAGCACTTGCCTGTTTTGGTGCAATTATTCTTTCTTGTATGGTTTTCTCTGTTTTGTGGTTAATTTCTGATCCCCCTGCTCCTCTCTCCTCACAGTGGGTCTTGAAGGCCTGATGTATTGAGGCATGGCTAATTGGTACCCGATTTAATCTTCGGGAGCTACTGAGGCTCTAAAGAAAGTTGGTTCAATTATGTCAAACTCTTGATTTTTATGACAGTATATATTACTGCACCATATAATTATTATTTACATGTAAACAAAATCATTGTTTAATTCATCAGTTTGCATAATATACACAAGTCAGATCTTTCCTTAATCCCTCATAATCTGCACACCTCAGATCTTTCTTTAATCCTTGTAATCTGTACATACCAGATCCTTCTTTAATCCCTCATAATCTGCATACACCAGATCATTCTTTATTCCCTCATAATCAACTTTGTGAAAATGCAAAACCATCTCTCTTATATCTCATCTTATGTATACACATTTGTTTTTTTAAGGTACATTCCATTTCTGCACATGTAAAGGTATTTATTAAACAAATTCTTAAAATCTGTGAGTTTAGTTTTATGTTTTAGTTTTTAGTTTTATAAGTTTTGGTGATATGTCTGATTTTTTTTTCTAGGAATGTACATCAACCAGTGATGGTTGATGACTGGTTATTTTTCATGCAGATACTTCAAGAGTATAATGCTGGTACATGCATAATAATAATTTGTTTTGTCGGGGACAGGAGGCCTGTGTATATATGTACATTAGGCTGGTATTGAGGTCTCCCTAGGGTTCAACTACTGACCCTTCCCAGAATGCAACCTTACAACAGTTGCCTAACAACCTGGGTACTATTTACTGCTAGGTGATCAGAGGCATTATTGGAAAGGAAACGTGCCAGTTCTGTCCCACCTGGGATTCCCAATAGTGAGTCGAAAGCAAAGCCAACCGTACTAATTCCGAAGTTTTTAAATTGCAAAACTAATAATTCAAGTCAGTATAGACAAGATACATAACATGTTTATGAAAGAACAATTTTATGTCACAAAGATATATCTTAGGATACTATTTTCCACTGCTGCAGGGGAGGCAGAAGTGCCCGTGGCAAACTGTGACCAAAAGCACTATGACTCGCAGGAGAAGACTACATACAAGTTGAAAGACTATATTGACTATTGGAAAGGCCTCAGGAAAACATCTTCAGGAACCAAACAGTGTCTTTACTTGAAGGTAATGTTAGTATATTTGTGCTATTCATTACAATAGTGTGATAGTGATTTTGAGGAGGAGGAGGAGGAGTGTGATTCTTAATACCTGGTAAACACATGAAGGAGTTAGTTCTTGCATATTTGTACATACAGTATGTAAATGTATAATTGTGCAATACCATAGCTTCCTTGATGTATGATGTGTTCTATTTATAACTCAACTTTTATAGGACTGGCATTTTGTGCGAGCATATCCTGATTATGGTGCTTACACAACCCTCCAGTACTTCGCCTCTGATTGGCTCAATGAATTCTGGGAAGTCAGGGAAGATATCCAGGATGATTATCGATTTGTATATATGGGACCAAAGGGTAGCTGGTGAGTCCTTTATTATTATAGTTAAAACCATCCAACCCAATGCACTAGTGTGTTGGGGCATTTTGTGTCCATCACATTAATTGGCCTTCACTGTTCCTGTAACATCCTCCATACCTGTTCAATATTGCTTTCATGAATTTTGTACCATATGCAGTATGTAGGTTATGCAGAGGCATATCAGATTTGGCAGATCATTATATCACTGAATGTACTGTGTACCGTGTGTATAGTATTGCAGCTATGTACAGGGTATTGTGATGTACATCTCATAAATTGCCATACGTTACAGTATTAATAGAACATAAAAATGCCCCGATCAGGATTTTGGCAGTATTAGTTGGAATTTATCTTTGTTTCATAATTAAATTTATTTAAAATACTGCATGAATTTTAAATAAATAATTTTATATATAAGTATTTACAAATTAAGATTATCTAGTTTGTGAGTAAATTCAGAATTTAACATGCTGTATAGAATACATGAATATTTCAAAATTGTTTTTCAGGACTCCATTTCATGCAGATGTGTTCTGGTCATATAGCTGGTCGGCAAATATTTGTGGACGTAAAAGATGGGTGTTTTACCCACCGGGCGAGGACCAGTACTTGAGAGACCCATTTGGTACACCCATATATGATGTAGACTCTGCAGAATTGAGGTATGATATAACCTTTTTGCTGTATTAAGCGGTTATGGTTGAACTACGAAAAGCTTTCCCAGTATGCAAGTTTTGGCAAATGCATTAGATGGTGCTACATAGTCTTCCCCGGCTTGGTGCCTTCTTTTGATAATTACGTAACAAATGCATCACAAATATTATTTAGACATAATAAAATGTTTGTTCAGCCATCAGATCTCCAGAACAGGAGTTTAGTCTTGGTAGCTGCAGCCATTTGGTGGCACTAGAGAGGAACTTCACCCTATGGAGTAGACCTAAATCTGTCAGGAGATACTGATATACAGTAGATAGGTTTATATCTTGTATATTTTTTTATCGCTGGAAAGATCTTAAGATGGATGCAACAAATATTGCAAAAACAAACTATTTGTATTATGCCTTGTGTAGACCCAATCAAAAAATGTGGCCAAAGTAGAAATTCAGTAGAAAAAAGGTTAATTCTGTATGTTTAAATACCCTAGATCATCATCCAGGTTGACTCTAAGAATGATACCCAACTTTGCCATGATTAACTTGTTCTATTTGTTAATTACTAAATGGTCAAAATGCAGTGCAGATAATTGATGCAATCAGTAAAGAATCATTATTTGAATTTTTGGTACATAAATATTTTGTACATGAAGAAGAGTAGATAGACCCCATATATTTATGCACTATATCATTTCACCCTCAGTGATTCCTCCAAATATCCAAAAGCACCTTCTGCGATAGGGCGCCTGGAGGTGATCCAGGAACTCGGAGAAACTATATTTGTTCCTTCAGGATGGCATCATCAAGTCTGGAACCTAGTAAGACAATGTGTTCTCTGTATTACACATTTGCTTGTTTTGGATTATAATCATCTCCCAGAACATGCGTACTACACACGACAATATGCTTTCTGGATACAGCTCTCCTCGAAAGCCCAGGTTCTTATTTGTTGGTGGTCTGATAACATTATGAATAAGGTTGCTCAAGCAAGCAGTCTGATTAAATGTTGTAATAAAACTGGGTGAGAGGAATGGGTGGGGAGGCATTGTGGCCCACATGATTAAATGGGAGGGGGGGGACCTCTGTATAAGCCTATTATATATACTGTATATACATTGGCTGCCTGTCCCACAACACAATTAAAATTATATTGGCAAGAACTCTTTCCCCCCCCACCCCCTTCCACACCAAAAATTAGCATTAATTTTTTCCCTTGCATTCAAGGATGATGCTTGGTATTTTTTTTCACACGCAACAGGTTTTTTCAGCCATTCTTGGTTTGGACGTATTCAGAAAGCATATTTTTGCCTGCATCTTGTATGTGTCCTATTTCAGGCATTTTATCTTTTAAACCTAATTTTTAGGAAACCTGTTAGATTGATTAGTGGGTAAAGTGTCTCTTGTGTTGTTTGCTAGGGGGTCAGCATATCCTGGGTTTAGATTTTAACATTTTATGGTCCCAGGCGGGACAGAAATAGTTGGTCACAAATACCTTCACATAATGGCTCTGTTCACCTAGCAGTAAATAGGTGCCTGGGAGTTGGGCAACTGTTGCAGGCTTGCTTCTTAGGGTGGGTCAGTAGTTCGACCTGGGGGGAGGGGGGACTTTGATACAAGACTTAAGTACAGTATACTGTATATATGTACACACACACACACACAAACTTCCTGTCTCCCAACAAAATGAACTATTTAAATTATTATTATTATTATCATTATTATTAAAATACAGATTTTATTTTATGCTGAACCCCCCCCCCCACCGACTCCACTATGACACTTCCAATAAAATCGCCATTAATCCTGCAAAATTTAATGACGCTAATTCCGAGTATCTGGCCTTCAACCTTGAACACAGACATTTTCTCTTACAGATAAAATTTATATTAGTCTAGAATATATATTATCAAGACATAATTATACACCATAGAACCTAATTATACATCATAGAGAGAAAGAGAAGTGAATAATGGAGAGGAAGTGAATAGAGGAAAAAAAGTTGTTACTCATAACTTTTAACACAGTATAACTTAACCATTATCTCTGTGGGGGAAAAATTGAATACAAGTTTTTTGTCTATTTTGAAAAAATCCTTACCTTGAGAATATGAAAAAAGTTAATTTTTAAGGTGGCAGATATTTGCTGGAGACTTTAAATACTGATTGGGAATACTATGTACCCCATGGGCATTTCAAATGTTAAAAAGTACTTAAAACGTCTTTGGATGATATGTCCAATATGGGTCGACAATATTAAAATGATGTGTGTGTGTTTCAAGGGTTGTATATTGTACATTTTCCTTCAGTTTGAATTACAAACTTTTCTTAACATATCATTAGATGGAAAAAGTGCTTTAGCAGCATTCTTCATGTTTTGATTATAACTCGTCAATGTTTAATTTCTAGGAGGACACAATCTCTATCAACCACAACTGGTTAAATGGCACCAACATCCACGTAGCTTGGGACTTTTTGGTCGAGTCCCTGAACCAGGTACCACCGTCACATTTCCTTTTGTTCACATTAACACAATTGTAAATTTAAAATAGTCCCAGTATATTCTGGGATATGATGTGACTTTAGTTAGTTCTTGATGCCAGACTCGTTACAAAAATCTTTGACACGTAGGCCTAGTTTCTCCCAGATGCACTGCCACCCCAAATGTTATGGAGTACACAGGATATCTAGACATCAGAAAAGTAAGCAAGCATAACACTAATATGTACAGTGATGGAGAATTATTCTTTTACCTTTAATTCCAATTTCCAGTTTTCTATGTTTTAAGGAAGATATGGTTAAAAATATTGTAGGTCAGTTGGTTGTCATCTGGGCTCGTAAAGCACCAGCTAAAAGTTTGATTCTATGCTCTGGCAGATTTGACTTACTACCCACCTACTTTGTTCTTGCTTGATGACCACCGTCTTGCAAACCTAAGAGATGTCTTGGTGACAGGATGATGTGTGCCTGAATCTTGCTCATGTTAACATGAAGGATAAAGGATGTCAGAATATGTAAAGTTATGGAAGTGAAGTATAGATGGAAAAGTATGTAGTTATCAGAAGAAAAATGAAAAGTCACTATGATTCTAGAGCACCCTTTCAAGTTATTTAAAAGTGAGGTACAGTACTTGTATGTCATTTAAGATGATGAAATTTAAATAGTAACAGAAGTGTCAAGGCAGTTTGAATGAGATAACATTTGGATGGACAAACAAAAATATATGCGAGACAGGTGCAGTTAATGGACCGATTTCAATACTTTAAATGCACAAAATCTGTTTTATTATTGTAAAACTATCATAAGGAAACTTCATAATATCATAATTTGGTAATAAATTTGCTGCATATAAATCAAGAGTCATTGGTAAGAAAATGTAATCTCATTATTAGAAGGCATATATTTTTTGTAAAGTGAAGTATACTTTCATTGTTCATTAAGTAATTTAAGTGCTAGAATAAATTCCACTTATTCTCAAACCAAGTAACCTTCAAATAAAAAATCTTCAACAAGCAAACAATGTGCCCAAATTTAACATTATACACTACGATAACAAATATTAAGATTTCCTGGACTATAAAAGGAAATTATGTTGAAACTGCCTATCTCCAAAAATTGGGGTCTGCCATAAATACAAACACTTCCATCTTCACCAACTATGTGCCATAACATTCTGTTATTGCCATTGCTGTATTATACTATTCCATGTTATACTGTACCTAACCAACCTAACCAAATAAAATTGGTTAGGTACAGTATATTTGTACCTAATTACACAAATTTTTGTGTAATTCCATTAATATTACATATATTTTCCTATAATATTATTGGTAAGGGAAATGGAAGGTGTATTGTATACAGTTAAAGTTGGTATGTAGTTACTGTATTTGTTGGGCATTTTGGATTTTTTTTGTTGGGCTTTCTGGAATTATTTTGTTGGGACGCTTCAAAGCTGCAATGATTGTTGGAAAATGTACAGGTTTCATAAGTGGTTGCATTAATGCTTGGTGACTTGGCTATGATAACGAACACTAAAAGTACTAAGCATTACAAACCTCAGGTCGAGTATGCTATTCGGGACTGCACTGAAATGGATGACTGGGTCAGTCAGTGTCAGCTGTTGCTGCGTGCCACTCATGGCATGGACTATAAAGAATTCTACGCATTTCTTCGCACTGTGGCACGACGAAGGATCGACTACCTAACAGGTTAGAAATTTTTTTAAATTAAAATTACTGTTTATTTTCTTCCCATTCACTGTACTTGTGGAAGTTGTGGATTTCTTTCTATGCAATGTCATAAAATAATAGCCAATCAGACAAAATTAAATAAATTTCTCTTCTTAGGAAAAGGTCCACTTCTCAGCTTTGGATACTGGGAAATTGGCAAAAATCATGTAATATATGACTTAAAGAAAATACAGTGGTGCTTGGAGAGACTGTTGGACGATGAACGTTTCGAAACCATCAAGAGCTTCGGCGAAATGGAAGATCACCCATCTCGGCTCCTTGAAGATGTTGCATCCGCCTTGTCATGATCACTCAGAATTGTATGATTTTTAATTTGATAATAGTTATAACCCTAATTTTTAAATACAGGAGTGGGTATTTTAGTCAAATACTGAACTGTAGTTGGAGAGCTGCGTTTCAAGTGAGGAAGCTTTCCCACGCACCATATAGGGACTGCAAGTATTTGAATAAACCCATTCATGGGGCTAGATGAATGAAGACTGATTGAGACAGGAATCATCTTCTCATCTTCATTGTTCATCACTCTGCATATCACATATTACGACTGGTATGGAGTTCAACCCAGATGAATGTCTAGAAACCACCACCAGTACACCCTTCACCCAGTCTCAGAGCTCCAGGCAGGTGGCGACTGCAAGACCTGCTGGTTCCTTGCTATGTATAGGTAACCCACCAGTTACGCCACCGGCTCATTGTTCCATGTGACAAAGAATGTGACATCACCATCAGGGGTATAAATACTCGTGACCTTGGTCACTTCAGCAGTCTATCTCGGGGGAATCAACATTATGGCCTCCATGCGATGCTGGCATACAGCTGCTTCGTGTCTAGGTTGTAATAAGAGTAAATAATTTCAGTGTCGCCCTTATTTTTGTGTTAACGTAAGTTTGTATATGTATTGACTATGCGTGATACATCCTATCAAACGAACTTGGTTTCATTGAGCATTGAATTAAAGTAACTTCCATCATTTATGTTGGAACATGTAATGCTTGCAGGGATATTGATAAGCCACAAGCTTATTGCATTTTGTTGCTTATTATTGTCTAAATTTTATTTTTTCTATAACGATAAGAGATATTGGGGTAAAAAAGTTATTTATTAAATATTAATCTTTGTTACATGTAATTTATCTCATGTTTAATATAGGACATTGTATGTGGAATCTGCAAAACATTTGTCTTCAAAGTTTGTATTGCTGAATGTTGTATCTTGGCAGAAATGTTCAAAAGTTTAATACAATTATTTATATTTGTTGCTATTATGAAATTTGGAAAGATTTTGAAGACTTGCTTGTGTTTGTTTTCATTGATGTTGCTACAATTTCATAGATTCAAGTCATTTAAGGATATTTTTATATACTGTACTGTGTATGAGGCATTTTATACAACTAAATATAATGTGCTATACAGTAATGTATATAGTTTTCATCTCGGACCTAAGCTTCTGAAAAGATTAAACGGCTTTTGTTCCATTATTTAATGTAGGAAATGTACTTGAAACTATTTTTTTCTGTGACTCACTCTCGGCAGTTATCAATATTAAAAGTACTGGTAGATAATTAAAAAATTGCAAGAGCATCAAAACTTACAAAAAAAATTTTTTAAAGTACATAGTAAAACCAGGACTAATGGTGCTATTTCTGCCTTCTGTGTTTCAACTTTGACTTATTGCTACTACTGTATTAATAAATTAAATGTAGAAATTTATAAATTAAGTGTAGAAGCATCACAAATGCATGTCAAGGATATAATGTACGACGGATGTGCAACTTGGCATCTGCTGAAATTTATGTCAGAGATGGGCCTTAGAACTTGTGATCAGTGGCAAGTAAGTACTAGATATTGATTAGTATTCTTCTCATATTACATATGACAAAAGATGTTTACAAATAAATAACCCAACCCACATGTGAAACGAAATGAAAGGATGATGTTTCGGTCCACCCCGGACTGTTATCAAGTGACGACTCGATAAGGGTCACAGTACATACTGAAACTAATTTACTTTCATTCCATGTGTGGGATGGGTTATTTGTTTTTGGCCATGTTACAGTGACTTACTCTCTGCAAGATTATGAATATACAAGGTTGAGTGCGTGCATGCCAGTATTACAATTTAGGTAGTGATAAGGAGATGAAGGTACACATCTGTGACTTAAATATAAAACATCTAGGATGTGTATTATGAAAGTTTTCATATTAGCATTTAAATTTTAAGCTATTCTAATAGACTTAATGGTTAGCTTTGTACAAATGGTAGATAATTCATTATCACAATGGTTATTGGTTTTCTACATCCAGCAAGTTCTTGGTCTACAACTAATAATATACTAGAGTATACTAATAGTATACTCTAGTTCATCTTCTCAACCCATCATCAACAAAGGGTTTGGATCTATGCCAATTAGTAGCTGTCCTAATTTATGAATAAAATAAATGTTGCACAATTTGCAACTGCTGCTCATCAAGCTTCTCTCTGATAGTTTTCACTCACTAAATGCTCAAAGCACTTAAAGTGTATGGAGGCAGCATTTTGAGAAAACAAATAGTTGTCGACATAATCAAAACCCCAAATCTAGGTCCGTGTTGAAAGCCTGTGATAAACACACACTTCTGTAATATTGTTGGTGACACAGTATATTGCATTGTTCAAAATATTAACATGTGCATCTTTGAGCATGGTCTGAGGATGGGTTGTATTTCTTAAACCACACAATGCCTTCACCGTACTGTTAAGCATTTTACCTTATGCTGTGCACGAGGTCTTTCATTGTACTGTATTTTGGTCGCTTGTAATTTATCACTAATAAATACTGAATGAACGAATGAATGAATTTTCTTATTGGCAAAAATAATAATTATGATCATAACATTTACAGTTTTGATCATTACATTTACAATTTGATAAATGTGTACTCTTGAATAATTCAGCACATTTTGATGTCAAAATCCCCTATGGCTAAAATATGATGTACTATACTATAAATCATAGCAGCTTACAAAGTTTGTTTTCTATGTATGGTTTATCAATTAAGTTAGGAAAGGTTCAGGCAATTTAGTACATAATTTTCTGTGACCATTCAAGAGGATAGGCTGGTTTAATACAATGTAAGTTTAAAAAAAAATTGGTTTAATTAGCTATGCAATGCTTCATTTACCTCTATAAACACTACAAAAGTATATTTATATACTTGATTTATGCAATGGATGCACACATTCACCTACATTAATGAAGGAAATAGATATAGAATACACTATAGTTTGCCTAGCGACCACTCGCTCTCAATGTGAAAGCTAGTTTCGTAATTAGCGTTGCAATCATTCATTTACCTCTAAACAAACAACGCATATTTATATACTTTATTTAAGCAATAGATGTATACATTCACCTATATTATGCAATGAATTTAACATAGAGGTAAGTCAATGAAACAATACTCCATTATAAATCCTCAGTTACATCAAATAACTCTCATAATGTGGTATTTATCCTCTTTTGATCATTGAAATATAGTTATTTAGAGAGAATGACATTACGTTTCGTAAGCACATATTTGCAGTTTGAAATTATACCGAAAATGTGCCAATTAGTGAAAACGGTAATGCCATGGGTCACATTTTACCCAAACTTCCTCCTGCAGTTTTCAAAATATCGGAAATATCTATTTCCGATATTTTCCATAAAGCATGTAGCAAAGATTATAACAGTCATATGAACCAAGAGCAAATGACTTGTAACGTTATTATTTACAGAGTGCGGCAAAAGTCAGATTGCAGTAGCCCTGCCTTATCTGCACAAGTGTCCTGCCTTCAATAATCTCTACTTTTAAGAGGACTTTGCCATTTTGGTCTTGCTGGTACGTAGTCACTGAAATCGGGACGCTGTTGCAGAGGCTAGACATGAGTGTGTGGTTAGATTTAACTAAGAGCAGCTTGCATGGGATTTTTGCAGTTTCTGTACCTGTAAATGATCTCCATTTACCTTCCTAGTGTGCTGTGACACAATTTTCCTGATCCTGACAAGTGTAGTGACAGAAGCAAGGCGTCACTCTGTAAATTTTTGGCATTCTTTCCACGCAATTATTTTTTCCAGCCCTCCTTGGTGGGCAGCTTTTTGCCCCCACAAAAGTTTGTGGGGTATTAAGGCAGTGTGGTGATGATGATAATCATGTATTATACTTTATGGTTGTGCTTGCACCTTGATAATATTGAGTTTGTACCCATCAGGCAAGGGGTTGTCAATCTTGGCTTGTATACCACTTGGGTCCATGATGGTCAGCTTTCCTCTCATGTTGTCCAGTGTTGCCATGTCTTCTTCACTCAAAACAAAATCATACACCTGAGGAAAAGGAACACTTCAGAATAAACAAGTTTCAAGCAAAATGTGATGTTAAATTTTTATCAAAATGTTGAGTCTGTTATATGAAGACCTTAGTAAAACCCCTGCACATTTACAGTACAGTACTTGTTCTTGGAAAATAATCCATTTATCTTTTACTGCTACTTTTTAATAAGCTTAGAAACAGCAATTGCCCACAGCACTCGCCATTTTGATCTATCAGAAATCCTACTAACACTAATCCAAACATTATCCAGTACTGTGCAAATTGTGCAAATGATGACTTAAGAAGATTAAATGAATGCAGAAGTTGGAAGTAGCAGACCATTAAAGAAGTTTTAAAAGTTTGAGAGCAGTACTTGGTACAGTTCTCTCAAATCCATGTTTGAGAATACAGTACCCAGTTCATTTGTTAAACTTTCATTTACACCAATAATTACTACATCATCCTCTGAGTAAAAAATATTTGATAAATTTTTTCTCATGAAGTTTTTATTAAAAGTGAGAAAATAGAAAAAAAAAAAAAATAAGACTTTGAATGTAATAAAATGCCTCATCCTGGTCGATCCTTGGCAACCCTCACTCCCTTCCCCTTTCTGGAGCCTCTTTTTTTTTTCTGGCTAAATTACTAGTGTGTCGAGACTAGGGGATTGGTGGAGGTAGGTTAGCATTCCCATGGCAGTACACAGATGGAATTAACGAGAGAACTCGTTCACAACTGAGTGATTCATTTGTCTTTGGGCTTCACTGTTTAGTTCTGTTTTGTTTACCTTGCTATTTATATTTTTTATTTTATTTATTTATATATACAGTACAAGAGTTCTTACATTCTTGTACAGCCACTAGAACACAGTGTATTGGGCAAGTCCTTAATCCTAATTTTCCCCGGAATACAACCCGCCGAATCATTTTAACAACTAGGTAAACAGAGGATACAGTTAAGGATCGGCGCTCAGTAAATCCTCCTCAGCCAGGATAAGAAACCAGGCCAAAGCACTTGCGAACCACCGGGCGAGTGCTTTACCACTGCACCACGGGATATGTTTGGTTCACCTTTCTAGTGGCCTTTTCTTGCTTAGGGTGATCTAGGATTCCCTGCTCGTTGCATCTACTTAGCAGCAGCAGCTGGGTGTCCCATTGAAAACCATCAATCCCTAACTGCAGTGTATGGGACCATACCAGAAGACAGCCCACAAATCCAGGGAAACATGCCAGGCCTGCAGTCAATATAGATATCAGTCAATGTTCAAATGCATGTGTAGTCCCACACCAGCTGCCAATCATTCTTCTAAGGATGCATTGTAATCCCATCTGGGCAGCCAGTGGGATTGGCAGAACTATATATACTATCTGTATCTGCAAAATCGAGCTATTAGCTCTTGGACCCCGCCTTTCTGACCAATTTATTCTTCCTCTATTATGTCTGCTACAAATATTTCTCTTACACACACATGCACACAGCATGCATTAAGCAGTGATGTGGTGGAGGCAGAATCCATACACAGTTTCAAATGGAGATTTGATAGAGCCCAGTAGGCTGAAGAATCTGTACACCAGTTGATTGACAGTCGAGATGCGGGACCAAAAACCCAAAGCTCAACCCCTGCAAGCACAACTAGGTAAGTATACACATACATACATCCATCCATCCATCCCCAGGAAGGAGCCCATAGCAGCTGTCTAACTTCCAGGTACCTATTTACTGCTAGGTGAACAGGCGCACCAGTTACCCTCACAAGTCAAGCCTGGCCTCGGGCCGGGCTTGGGGAGTAGAACTACTCCCAGAACCCCATCAACCAGGTGAAACAAACTCTGCCCATTTGTTTCTGCCACTGCAGGGTATCGAACCCGGGCTCTTAGGACTACAACCCCTGTCCACTCAGCCACGAGGCCCGTCTTGTGCAACAGTAGGAAATATGGTTATCTCTTGACTGGGCACCCAACTGTATTGAGGCTCCTCTGTTGAATTTAATGTGCCTTGAGTGCCAACCCAATGTCCTTTTGTAGAGTAAACCATGCAGAACAAATTTTTCAGCCACTGCCTTTCCATTAATACTCTACACCTACTGTATATTCATTGTGGATTGACACAGCAAGGCAGAGGGCCATAATATGGAAGGATTGTGGTTTGAGGCATGTGTCTGTTACCAACATAGTGGTTACTAATAGAAAATCTTCTGCATGGGAAGCATGCAGGAGATTTGTTGATCTCCTTCCCCCCTCGCACCATTTGGGGGGGGGAGGAGGTAGCACTAACAACTGGGAGTACTAGTTCGATGAAGTGTTGCTTGTTTGTTTTCTTTCTGGAGAAGTTCTTTTTGCTCTTTTCAGAGGTAGGTTGCAATTTTCACCAGATTGTGGTTTGTTTTGAAACAGATCACAATTTGATTTTGGGCCTATCTTTCTGGGTGCCCTCCCCAGTCAATGCCAATTATGACATAGTGGTACTTTGAATGTAAAGTGCTCATAGGCCATTGCACCTCTTAAGGGAGAGGTGCAATGGTCTATGAGCCTATAATGACCTTCTTTGCTCCCTGGGCCTCTCTAAGGGAGCCAGGTTTTGGCTCATGGTACCCGGTAGGCAAAGGAAATCCTGTGACTGATGACCCCAAACTAATATAGCACATATCAGTTCAGATAGTTTCAACGAGCCGACAGGGCTACCCACAGAAAAGGCATAAAGCAATTATGTAACTGTTCTATTAGTGATCACCACACAGCCAAACATACCTCAGAGGCAGTGTGTGAGAGCTGTCACAGGTTATGGGGAAACGTCACGCCACACAATTTGGGTCCCACGACATGTGAACGCCACAGTGTAATAAATCAAGACTGTTGCAATCTCTTTGAGACAGAATAAAGTCAAACACCTGCAAAGGGCAAAGATTAGTACACTAAGTACTAGCAAGACACAATCAAACCAGGATGTCTAAAGTTTATGAATAACACAGGTACTGTATTTAGATTAATAGATAGTAATTGTGTTAGTGATTTAGTAGAAAGGAAAATCTGGGTAAGCAATAGATTTACACTTATAGAGAAAGATTAGTGTATACAATACAGTACTTAAACCAAGGGTCGAGATCCAAGCACTAACAGTTATATAAATTCTAATGTAGATATGAGTTTAATTTACATTATATTGTACAGTATTTTGGCCTTCATGTTGCTATTTGCTTTTTGTCAGTCAGTCTGGTTTCATGTTGAAGCAGTTTGTTGGGGCTTTTATGGTTCTTGTCCCCATGTTGGTCCTTTACTTATTGGTCTTGTTCCCATACTGGTCCTTGACTTATTTCAATCATATCCTCAGTTTTGTTGTTTATGCTCCTCTGCCATGCTTCGGGGCAATGCTTCACAGTGGGTTAGTTGTTCGTACCATACACCATGCACTCCTTACTTTGTAAAATGGCACAGGGAAACTGAAAAGGCTATTGTTTCCAGTAGACAATAAGGGTCTATCAGAATAACTGCCTTTGTTCAATTGTGACTAGTAACAGCCAAAGACTAAGCTAGGGAAGCTACTGAAGGTAGTATTTCGCCTTCAAAAAATACTCTACCACCTTCAAGGTGGTAGAGGCTGAGGGTGGATGATCAGAGTGAGGTATTTCATTGCACATGACACTTTTTCAACATGAAAATATTTCTCCTAATTTGTTTGCGTTTCTATGGAAATAGCAGGTAATATTTTATTTACTATATATACTGTAAACAAAAAAATTGCAAAGCATGATTTTTTCTTTATTTGTTTAAACCCAAGAAAAATATGGTCCAAACTAGAGGTGCCACAGCCAAAGGGTTAAGGAATAACAGTAAATAGGGGATAATAATTTTTCATCTTGATCAGTCGTGTAACATAAAATTTATACCTATCATATCAGTGCTAGAATCTCAGCCTTGGTAATGTATTGAGACACAATGGTCTACAAGCAAATTAAAACTATGTCATGGCAAACACTGATTACAAAAACACAAAAAATAAAAGGAGACATCTTTACAAAAGTTGAATCACACACAAGTGAATGCTACCATGCCCATTACTGTCCTCTACCTCTGAATTCTCTCTGACCCTGTGCTCTCTGGTGGACTTTGGGATACATACAACTCTCTTCTGGTGATTCCACCGAATAAGAACTTGTGCAGGAGATTTGTTGTGCACACTTGCAATCTCTTGAATTCTAGGCTCATTAAGAATTTGGCCATTGGCTAGTGGACAGTAACCCTATAATATAAAAATATATAATTCTTTTATACATTTATCAACTAGACAATATTTCAAGGAGGCATGTTGTAGGGCAGCAATCTTACATTACACTCTAAACAAAAAACCAGCGTTGAATGTAATGAAACGCCATTTTCTGGATGAGCCCGGGAGGCTCCCTGGAGCTATCGGGCTAATATGCAATACATTAGACCCGGGCTTTAGTCAATGGAGTTCTGCCCACCGGGACCATGAGCCAGAACCCTGGCCCCCTCAGAGAGACACCAGGGAGTAATGGCCCTGGAAAATCCCCATGGTTGGGGGTTTACCTTATCTGCCATCAACCAAGGTTAGACACCCAGAAAGGTAGGCGTAACAAAACAGGCCACAAGGTAAGAGAAATGCAAAAGAAAGCCGAACAAAGAGGTAGAACTTCCTCTATTCCCAAGCAAATATTACACCATGCTGTCACTTGCTCGTCCATGCATCTCCCCACTGTGCCAGCTACCCAACAGGCTGGAGGTGAAACAAAGCATGAAAAAGCTTATGGAATGGGGCAGAAGTTACATCGACACCGAACACAAGCTACAGTGGCTCCGCCAGCACCACACGATACGTGGCGACAGTAGTAGACATTAAATGACGATCCTGAAAGAGCTAAGATAGAAAGGACAAGACAACCTATAGAGAGAAAATGGCAGAATGAATGCCAGGAAACTTCAAACTGTCGCTGAAAAGAAGCTCTCAGGTGGGACACCTTCAACCAAGCCACCTGATCACCAAACAAATGGTGATAAATTGGTGATAAACTCCTCTTCCCTCCCCTCCCCCTCTCGGGAGGGCTGCGTGCACGAGCGGTGCGGCGGCGGTGTATGACGTTTGCTTGTTTCCTTGGGTGTTGAGGGAGTTCTGACTCTCTTCAGTCATCGGTTGCAATTATCTTTCCATGTGGGGTTTGTTTGGTCATGCTTTCCTTTCTGGGTACTCGGTCGAAGGCAGACAAGCAATGCCCCCAACCACATGGGGTTGTTTTCCCTAGGCCAATGCTCCCTTGCCTCTCTGAGGGGGCCAGGTTCTGGCTCGTGGTTCCCAGTAGGCAGAACTGCAATTGACTAATGCCCCAGACTAATATATCGCATATCAGTCCGATAGCTCCAGGGAGCCTCCAGGGCTCACCCAGAAAATGAACTTTCATTACATTTAATGCTGGTTTTTTGGATTTCTTTCATTTTATCATCAATTTAGCAAAAGTAATTTTCAAATGGTTTTGTAGTGAAAAACATAATTTTGTGCGTTTAAATACAACATATGTACTTGGTGCTCACTGACCAAACACATGCGTCCTATCTGCCGACAAATATAGATATAATTAGAATTAATAATCTACCTTAGAGTTTTCCATCACTCGCTCTACATTAGTTGATTTGGGAATAGCAGGAACCTTTCCCTGCAAACTCCAGCGGATCAGGATTTGAGAGGCTGTTTTCCTATGAAGCTTGGCTATTGCCTCCACTGTAGGTTCCTTTAGGGCCAAGCCTTTAGCAAGTGGAGAATAGCCCTGATTACATCAAACAAATGCCTTAGTAACAAATCATGCACCCATGAATATACACATTCATGCACATACAGTACCTAAATATCAATATGTAGCATATGTATATATATAAATACTCACCTATTTATATACAATATATTAACAGATACTGTACATATATCCATACATATTTGTTTAACTGTACATACTGTACAAATTGTATTTGATATTTGTACAAACTGTACAAATTGTATTTGATATTTGTACATAATGTACAAATTGTATTTGATATTTGTATATACAGTACAAATTGTACTTGATATTTGTACATACTGTATAAATAAAAGTACAATAAATGCAAAAATATAATTATTATTCTCAAAGCACAAAGAATTATAGACACAGCAGGAAACAAGCACTTTTTTTTCAGATAAGGGTCTATGAGATCAAAGACATTCTCTGTCAGTCCAACATTCTTGGTCCAGCTAGATCATTTTCCACTCTATTGAGGTGGGAAGAAATTTGTCATTAGAAACAAGAGCAGTTCAAAAAATAAATTATACTTGGGCTTCAACTCCAATAGGGCAAATTAGTCAATAAACAGAAAATGGCAGACATTACATCACAACAACAAAAAACAATAACACTGGAGATCTTTTACTTCATATGACTGTCTCACTGGAGAGAGTACTCAAAAACACAGTAAACATATATTATATATATATACCATTTATATCCTCAAGGATATACCATGAATCCTCAGGGAGGAAATCATTCACCATCTTTCAGTGAACAACCTCGTACAATCGACACAAACATGGATCTGTTAACAACAGATCCTGCCTTACAAACTTGCTCACATTTTTGGAGACAGTAACCAGCTACTCAGACAAAGGCCTTCTGGTGGATGTAGTATACATTGATTCTGCTAAAGCTTTCGATAAGGTACCACATGAAAGACTGGCAAGGAAATTACAGGCCCATGGAATAAATGGTAAAATATTAGAATGGATAAAACAATGGTTGAAGGAAAGAAAACAAAGGGTCATGCTAAATGGAAATGAATCTGAATGGAGAAATGTGATAAGTGGGGTGTCACAAGGGTCCATTTTGGGACCTACCCTTTTTGTCATATACATACATCTATGACAGATAAGAATATTACAAATCACATCATCAAATTTGCAGACAACACAAAGATTTATGGTAAAATGGGAAATTATAATGATATTGAAGCCTTACAAAGAGTTCTACATGAACTCCACAAATGGTCAGAAGATTGGCAAGTGCTTATTAATATTGTCAATGCAAGACCATGCATGTGGGGCATAACAATCCATGCCATGACTACCAAATTAATATCATTACAAAACAGCAGACTGGCGAAGAAAGGGACCTTGGAGTCAAAGTCCACCATTCATTAAAAGTTGCATAACAGGTGGGTGCAGCAGTCGTAAATGCTAACCAAACTCTTGGGATAATCAAGCGTACTTTTGACTATAAGGAAAAGAAGGTAATGGTTCAACTGTATAAATCTCTGGTGCACCCTCATTTGGATTACTGTATCCAAGCATGGAGACACCATTTTCAGAAGGACATAACTGCTCTGGAGAATGTGCAACACCGGGCATCAAAAATCATTATAGAGCCAAGGCATCTGTATCAGGAAAGCTTGAAGGCCTCAGGGCTGAAAACACTGCAAACCAAGCATTACAGGGTGGATCTCATTGAAACTTAAAATACTGAGCAAGTAAGAGAATGTTGATCCGGATATTTCTTCAGAAGGTCAGATGTAACACAAATAAGGAGCAACAGATTCAAGCTCAACAATCCAAAATGTAGGACTGTGAACAGGAGATGCTTTTTCACCCACCGGGTTATTAACCCATAGAACTGCCTACCCACCAAAGTCATATCTGCCAAAATTGTGGCAAGTTTTAAAATATACCTAGAAAAGATCATCAAGGCAAATTGGGGGGGGGGGGCCTTCGACAGCACCCGGTTTCTTGTCCTCATCGAGGCCATTAGGGTAGTGGTCTTAAGTGAATCGGGTAAATATATACATATTGGAAAGACCATTCAAAACTACAGGATTATCATACTGGAGAAAGTACTCAACTACAGGATTATCATACTGGAGAAAGTACTAAACTACAGAATTATCATACTGGAGAAAGTACTCAGAACTACCCGATTATCATACTGGAGAAAGTACTCAACTACAGCATTATCATACTGGAGAAAGTACTAAACTACAGGTTTATCATATTAGAGAAAGTACTCAGCTAGAGGATTATCATATTGGAGAAAGTACTCAACTACAGGATTATCATACTGGAGAAAATACTCAGATCTACAAGATTGTCATACTGAAGAAAGTACTCAAAGATACAGGGGTGTCATACTGTACAGTAGTCATAACTTCAGGAGTGTCATACTGGAGATGCTCATAACTACACAGGTGTAATATGATATTTCCAAAACCAGTGTGAAAAATATATATCATATCGTAGGTCTCCGGGTGGGAAAATGAACCTTCTCTAAATCACCCGAGAACTGCACTAATGCCCTAAAAAATATCATGCTTCACTAGATATATAAACCAGATTTTAGTGCAAACTGGTTTCTACTATATAGCACTGAACATGGAGGTTTTGGATGCACACCTACGGACACGTCCAGAGATCGACTTTGACTACCCCCACGAATAATGCTTTGCCATAGACATAATAAGTTTGGCATCTTTGAATACTCTTCCCTTGCAAGTTCTTCAACATCATCTCACATAATTTGTTGGATAAATGTGGCCTGGTTTTGACCAGTCCTGGCTCCTCATCGGTTGCAACTTGACGAGGGTCCAGGATGGCATAAAATGTTTTTACTTTCCTTTCTTTTCATGTGTGTGGGTTGGGTATGAAAGCTATGTTCATGGTGTCCCATCTTCCCAGTACTCTGTCATATGAAACTTTAAAACTACTGACAGTTTTGGCATCCACCGCCATCTCACTTAACTTGCTCCAACATTCTACCACTGTACTGTATGTGCAAAAAGAGAACTTTCAATTTTTTTTTTAGGCCATCTTTGTTTCCTAAGCTTAATTCTATGACCTCTTGTTCTTGAAGTTGTAAGATCTTTCTTAATATTGGTTCCATTTCTTTCTTTTTGTGTTCTCTAGGCCTTCAGTAGTCTCCACTGAACCAGTTGTGTTTCCTAATTATGCATCTCTAGTTTTGGATGAAATTTTAGGAGCCTTTGTCATAAATTTTGCAAACATTTTCATACATCTCATTCAAATCTTCAACTATCGACAATATTTCTCGGTGAAATCCACCGAAGAATTCACCTACTTTCCTGTATTGTCTTTATTTATAAAGTAGAACTCCTCTGATACCTCCTTTTCCACTGTCTCTTCTCTCATATAGTAAAGGATGCAAGCAACAAGTGAACTAAGCTAATGGAACACCGTGGCCCAACTAATGTATGGGAATCCCAAATGGAGAATCACACACATGCATGGAAACTATTTTATATACATTGCTGTCTCGACTACCCTCATTTGGCTCGATATTAAATTTTTAATTTTAACAATGCTTCAGTCTACTGGCCCTTACAGTGCTCCTGTCATTACATGCAATTTATTCCCAGTTGATTCTGTAACTGTTTTTAGACCTGCACACCTCACTGTAGCACTTTTATATAGCTGCACCACTTAGTTTTTAATAATAAACTTTTAGAACCTTTACTTCTAGACCATTCACAATTAAGATACTGTATTATACAATCTTTTCTCAATTAATCCATATGTTGCTTCATAAGTTATACATTGATTGGTGATTAGGACAAAATAACTAAAGATAAAATTATCTTAATGTTATCTTCACATAGTTAAAGTTATCTTCATATATATACAGTATTTTACGATGAAAATATCTTACCTCAAACTGGATATCATATCATCTCACCTCAAACTGGATGCTTCTTTCTGCACAATATTCTCGGAGCTCTTTTGGGTTGTTATACGGGTGAAACTCACACTGGTTGACATGAGGAATGACTGAACACTCCTCCATGATCATTTCTAGATGCCGTTCCAAGAAGTTACTCACACCAATCACTCTCACTCGTTCTTCATCAAGTAGTACCTGGAGAATACCAGATTCAGTTACCCCCTCCTTTTTTGCATGACCTGTGATTTAAGTACAGTATTAACTCAATGTCTAAGGTCTCAAACATAATCATTACAACTTCCTATGTGACCTGTGATTATGTATGAGACCTAAAATCTGAGACCTCGTACATAATCATTAAGACTTCCTGCAAGACATGTGACTGAAGCATCTTTCAAAGTTCAAAGTTTCATACAAAGTTATGACGACTCCCTGAACAAAATTGAAAGAAATATTATCATATATGCTGACAGCATTCATTCCTACTAAAAATGGAAAGAGAAATGGTCATTTTTATGCCTATATTGTACTTTTGTACTACAAATCCCCGACTCATTTGTTTTAATCTGCAAAAACAAAAAAACAAATCAACCTCTAGTGTCCGCCATGTGTCCCGCAAGAGCTGCTTCTTATCCTTCACACTTGATGGAACATCTGGCCAGTGAAGAAGATACATATCTGAAATAACAAAGTATAATGATATTAATGCCTTTATGCACAACAAAATCGTAAGAACGTGATATACCTATGAGAAAATATTGAAGCCATTTGAAGTGAATGAACCCACCTCTCTGGACTACCCATGTGCAGACTTTTACCTTATTTCATTGAATATAAGAAAGCAACATTAGGTGAGGAGGTGGACTTGTAGGGTAATGAATATTACACGCAAGGAAACCACTCAGTTTCAGAATCCACTCATCAGAGCGATAAAGAATAACAAACCATCTACAATCCATTATTCTTATGTTCTTAGGTTTATATGTTTGGATGTCAGTGCCAACAAATATAGTGAAACACCCTTTTCTGAGTGGTCCCTGGGATGCTTCCTGAGCCACAAGCCATTCAGACCACGTTCAGACAATGTCACTATGCAAGGCTCTCATAATCTTTCCCAAAAACCTGATAAGAATCCATTTAAATGGTTTTATTAGGAATAGATAATGGTCAAGTGGGGCCACAGTCAGGAGTCTACTCTCCTCAATTTTGATTACTAGTAGAATGCACCTACAGATGCTATTAATAGAACTCCATGCAACCCATGCCCACAGTATCACTTAATGATGAAATATATCATTCCAATTATAATGACTATGTACAAGGTTAAGCTATCAATGAACATGATGTAGGTGATAATGTTCACAGTGCGAGGCACACAGCCACAGCACACAGCTGCAGTTTGATGCTTCTACGCATCATGAAAGGGGGACCTCATGTTTCTTTAGTAAATGAACATGTGAAAAATTATTCATATTCAGGATTTAGTGACCAGGATTCTGATAATAATTGCAGTGTTTTGGCTAGTGTTAGCGATGTGCACAGTATATCAGGCGGCACTTTGCTTCCACAGGTGCTGTTGGCAACTAATGAGTGTGTGTAGTTATCCTGTGCTTGGATCAATAGTTACGAGATCACCACGCTCGGCTGAAATGCTTAGTGGTTTGTATTGGTGTATAAACATAAACAATTAAATGTAATGTATGTATACAGGGAGATAACAGCAAAATGAGAATGTTTTATTGTTCTAAAAATATAATGTGATGTACATTCTACTGACAGGAATATATTTATGCATACCAATGTTTCATACATTCATTCATATAAATTACATTATTGACAGCAAATAGATAATTGCACTGAACAAAGCCACTGAAAAAAAAATATATATATATAAAATACTAAATGCATGTGGCAACAAACCCCCTTGAACGAACACAAATTATAGCGACACTTACCTAGGTACTCTGAACCTAATCTCTGACAAGAGCCATTGAAGGCCTCTCTGGTAGTGGTGGTGCCATAGTCCGTTGGCCAACATTTTGTTGCCAGGAAGACTTCTTCACGAGGTACTCCTGACTCCTGTAAATTTAAAAAAGAAAATAATAAAATAAAGCATTGTGTGGAACAAAATGTCTATCTTTGGGAAGTACCTTAATAATAAAGGTAGATAAAATATTCTCCAAACTCTCAACAAAAAATTCCAAATGCCAAATGAAAAAAGTCAAAACACTCTACAAACAAATCTAAAACTTCCAATAAAAAAAATCCAAAATGCTGTATAAACAAATATAAAATGCCAGAGAAAAAATCCAAAACACCCGAGGGAAAATCCAAAATGCCCAACAAAAATATTCCAAGTGCACAACAGAAAAAAAAATCAAAACATCCAATATAAGTCCAAAACACCCAGCAACATTAACAAATTTGGTTAATGTCCCTGATCCTAGCCAGTCATGTGTTGCCTTGGACCGTGCTTCCCAGTCTGAATTTTGTTCTTCGTCCTAGTGCAAGCTCCTCCTTTTTGAGTCCCATTTTTGTTCTCTGTGGTTAGTTAGTTTCAGGAAGGCACTAAGGATGGATGCTCCTCAAAAACCCAGCATTAAATGTATTGAAATGCCTCTTTATGGATACGCTCTGGTGGCTCCCTGCCTCACTCCCTACGCACAAGGTTAGTGGTTCATCAGTGTGCTGTTTATCAGCTCCAGAACTGAGACGACAGTTGGCTGCAAGCAGAAGCCGGGCTGCCCAATGGTGGCATTTACTACCAGTGGCTTCACTCTAATTGTGAACATTTCTCTTGTTCTATGTGAATTGTTTGCAAAGTTGTTTGGCATTTTCGAGGCTTTTTTTTTTTTTTGAGATACATACAAGAGTTGTTACATTCTTGTACAGACACTAGTACGCATAGCGTTTCGGGCAGGCCCTGGAATACGATCCCCTGCCGCGAAGAATCGGCAGCTTTTGTTTCTGTTAACCCTTCAGTTGTCTGTAAAGCTTTGCTGACTTTCTGGAGGCTTTCCCAGTGTGGTGGCAAATTGTCACTTGCTCTGTAGCAATGTGAGAGAGGAATATCCAGGTTTTAGCTCTGGTCCTCAGTAGGTCAAACAGAACACCTGCATTTTATGTGACCAAATAGCTTTCAAGTTACAAACATCCAGTTTACAACCCTTTTCTTCCAAACACATTTTGTTCATTAGTTGGTAACTGCCTGTAATTAGAGCTATGAAATAAAGAATATATTTAGTGGTTAAATAATACTTTTGCAAGTAAACTCAAACAAATATATTGCATATCTCATGTATGTGGACTCTGTGAATAACACTTATTATATAAGAGAACAGTAGCACATATTAGACTAGGAAATTATGAGAAACAATTCTTATACTGTACTGGCATATACTACATAGAATGAATACCTCTGTGGTTAAACCTACTGAATAATAATAAGGTATGTAATCCAGTATTGCAACAAGCAATAGAAATATAGAAATCAAGTAATGTCATCATTAGACCTTTACCTCTACAGCTCGAGCAATGTACGTCTCACAGCCATACCGCTTAGCTGTGTCAATGTGTCTATAACCACACGTTTTGAGTGCATAAACCACAGCCTCGTGGCTGTATCCACCATTATGAGATGTTCCTGCAATGCAACATTAGTTTGTAAGTATTTTGATCACAAAGAATTCATTTACTTAACATTGAATTGGCTAGAGTTAAAAGCTATTTGTCAATGCATTATATTGAATACTGTATATAATAAATCATAAAATCAGACATCATAAAATGAGTACTGTATACTGTATATATAACTATGACATCATTAAACTGAATACTGTATATACACTGCAAGTTAGCTGACAACCTAACTATGAAAACAGTCTAGCTGAATACATGGTAATAGGCATCCATCATCCACACCAGCATATACTGCACCACACCAGTGAGTACTCACTACACTGTAGACAAGACAATAATATAATAATCAAAACATTACTGTAAGGTGAAATTAATACTGATATACAAAACGTCTCACCTAAGCCAAGGATTGGCATTTTAACATTGTTGTAAAGTACCACATGTTTCTCTGGACTTGTGTAAACATCAGCCATTAGTCTGGAATATAAATATTATAATTAATACAGTTTTTGTCTGACATTAGGTTATTTCTGCCTAATTAAACATTATGTCCAACATTAATAAACATTAGTTTAGCCAAGGTAAAGTAATTTCAAAGAGAAAGTGCTAAGTTGGAAATAATACCGCTGCAATGCCACAATCCCCCACCAGAAAATTCCATTTTATTACGGTGAGCACCGTCGCATCACTAATGGAAGATGTTACATTGTCAAATGAGATGACCTGGTGTATAAATAAGAGGGGGGGTTGAAATTACCTATAACTCAGTGAATATATATCACATGACATGAGTTTTGTACCACAGTCTTGCCATATGCCAGGGCAACTCACTTTTTTCTTTTTTTTTTTTACAAAATTTGTACACACATTCCAGTGACTTTTTTTTTAAGTACTGTACATTGAAATTCATAAATGTCCTCTTAAGTTAGGTTATCTTTATCCTATTTAAACATTTCGTTTATATCCAACATTAGTAAGCAAGAGATAAGCCAAATGATTAACAAAAAATAATAATTCCTGTTCTTAGAGACAGGAAGCCTGGACTGGTCAGTTGAGCAGCAGCCTCATATCATGCATTGTCAGTGTTCAATCCCCAAATGGTTCAAGCAGTTGTGCTCCATTACTTCACTCCCTCTTTATCCCAGCTCCTTGTGCTTCTATACACAAGCACAAGTTATGCTTGTATTATAATTATATACCTTCCAAGTGCAATACAGTATAGTCATACTGGCTTAGTTTTCTTCTGATAATAACTTATGATAATTGTCAGTTCAGCACTAAAACTGTACGATGGAATAGTGGGGATGGCTGATATGCACGTCACTCAGTCAATTAAACACAGTTGGGTCTGATTAGTTGGGTGACCACACGGTCAACCTCATCCTTGACCTAAGGGGGAGACCTGACAAACTTCTTCGGAACACAGGGAAGCCAAACCCCTTCTTTGTTATCACTTGAGATCATGTTATGATCAATGTCACCTCAGATAACTGGAATGATTGCCTGCAAAATAAATTGAACTCAGTAATAACCCAATTATTTCAGTGCGACTCCGTTTCCCGTCAAGATTCTACGTGATACATTAACCTTGAAAACTTGGCACCTGCTACCCCGCTTGAAGTCCCACTCGCTCTATAACACATAAACCAAATTTATTTAATTAAAACTTCTCCTAAAGCACATAAAACCTTTGCTAAATAAGTCAGAGCGTCTATACCCTTAATACTGAGCTGTGTTTAGTAAGAGACACTTCTGCAATAAGTCAAAATATATGTTTAACTTAGGTCGTTCACCTGTTGCACACCTGACGAGGCAGTGATCAGCTGCTAAATGTAAACATCACGTAGCCAGTATCCCAGACGGCCGCGTTCACTTGGAATCCCAGACAGCCGCGTTCCCACAGAATCTCAGTTAGTTCATCTGAATTTACTTGAATTTACATGAGGGCCGCTATATCTCTAGTGGCCTCGACGAGGATAGGAAGCCGGCGGCTTGTCAAAGTTACCTCCATTTGTCTTGATGTTTTTATTGAACTGGATTTTGAACCATCATTTGTCGTGATATTTTCAATGAGATGGATGTTGAACTGCAGCAATTATATTTTGGCATTTTCTGCTTCCGCAGGTATTCACCTAGTTGTATTCACCTAGTTGTTCTTGCGGGGTTGAGCTCTGCTCTTTCGGCCCGCCTCTCAACTGTCAATCAATGAACTGTAACTAACTACTAACTAATTTTTTTCTTGCACCCCCCTCCCCCCTAGGAAGCAGCTCCGTACCAGTTGTCTAACTCCCAGGTACCTATTTACTGCTAGGTAACAGGGGCATCAGGGTGAAAGAAACAGTTGAATAACTACCTTCATTTCCTTAAAGTCAAAGGTTAGCCTGACTATTCCTAGGGTTTGGTTAGCTTTTTTACTGCAGCTCCCACTTGTTGTGCAACTTTCAGTTAACGATGGATTCTGACTCCAAGGGCCTTTTCTTCATCAATATGCTGGAAGTTAATGTTATTAATTTGGTAACTGTGACGTGGGTTGTTATGCCCCACATGGAAGGTCTTGCATTTGTCGATATTAAAAAGCATTTACCAGCGTTCTGACCATTTGTGGAGTTCATGTAGATCTCTTTGTAAGGGCATCAATATAATTTTCACTTCCCACTTTACTATAAATTTTAGTGTAATCTGCAAATTTGATGATGTGGTTTGTAATATTTTCAGATCCATGTCATTAATGTATATGACAAAAAGATTTGGCCCCCACTAAATGGACCATTGATATGTCCCCAAACCACATTTCTCCAGTCAGATTCATTCTCATTTAACACCATTTTATGGTGTTAAATGACCATTTAACCATTTTTTTCATTCTCATTTAACACCATTTTATGGTGTTAAATGACCATTTAACCATTTTTTTCATTCTCATTTAACACCATTGTTTTATCCATTTTTCATTTCTTTATTCCATGTGTCTGTAATTCCCTCGCTAGTCTGTCACCAAGAATAGTGTCAAATGGTTTTTTTTTTACAATGTAGGTTAATACAGTCATTGGTGGTGGCGGGGGTGGTGTAGGTGGCGGCTGGGATGGTGGTAGTGGTGATGTAAGCTGTTGCTGGGATAGTGTAGTGTATAGGTAGTGTAGGTGGGGGAAGGGGTTGTGTAAGTGGGGGTAGGAGTGGTGATAGGCTTTCCATAAAAGAGTATCATATGTCTTGATATGATACTTTATGTCTGCCCATTATTTTCGTTTTGACTAGTTAGAGAAACCAATCCGTCGACACAATTACGAAATCGTTTAAAGCTTTACTAATATGAACAGTCATATTAGTTAAGATGAGAGTCCATGACCATAGTACTTAAAAACCTCCTCGGTAGCGTAGATCACGAGGGGACAAAATATTAATAATTCAAATGTTGATTACAATCCAGATGGCAGGATGACGTGTGTCAGCCGTGACGTCATCACTTTCACCCTTAGCCGACCAGTCGTCCTCCCAGCCTGGCCACCTCAGTACATCTCCATCCGACGAGTAGGGAGGTTGTGGTGCTGCACGCGTTGAAACTCTTGTGAGAAGTCGTTTATGTAAACAATTTTCCATATTTTGATGAGTGAGTTGAATCTGTTAATATAAAATTTATTTGTTAGGTAGAAAGATATGTTAAAAAAAATTGATTCACGCTAGCATGTATATTTGAAGAAAAAAGGTACTTGTAATAACCATATCCAATAAACCTCCGACTTTCACCAAAATGCGGGTGTTTGAAGTGTAACCAATAATGATCCTTGCGGTCGTCGAGGATAACACACAAACCGGGTTATATACGGGCACAAGAGAGTGATATCACACCAGATATAAACATCTCAGGGGTCTGGTCTAGGAGGACGCTACCGGTCTACCACAACGAGGCTGTGCCAAAGTAATTGCTGTCACTGGTTCTATATCAGACACTGGTAGATAAACTCCAGGTTCTAGCAATAAATCATCCATAATTAAGATTAAGATGTTGTCAGGGACTATAGCGGAAATGATGCATTCGAGCGAGAAAAAAAATATGGCCAGTTACAATTGGTCGAGAACCGGTTTGTTAGGCGAAGTTGCATTGCAACCTGTGGCTTCCCTCCCGCCCTGGACCTGGCTTCATCAAGCAGTTACGCGAGTACTTAGGAACCTCTACATCGTTTTTTCCCGATCTTTGGCGGCTTTTTAAATGTATTAAACAGTATGGACTCCGCAGCACCAGGAGGCTGTGTATAATGATAACATTAATAAATAAATTAATTTAATAAATGTTTATTCAGATAAAATTACATACATAAAAGATGAGTTACAAACAGAATGTTGGATTTCTAGATAGAGTAGTACATACTATGCCTAAAGCCACTAATACGCACAGCGTTTCAGGCAACATTTGATTGGAAAGTTTCCATGCTCGTAAACTGTTTAATAAATGTAAACAAAGCCGCCAAGGATTGAGAAAAGCTGTGCAACATAGTATAACATATACCATGTCGTGGTACAGTGGTAAGGTGAATGGTTGGGTGTAGTCTGGTCGGTGGTTCGAGTCACCTCGTTGCTCCAACTGATGTTCTCTTTAGCAGTGCAATTGTTATATCGTGTTCTTGAAAATATCCTCATGCTTTTTCCATAGTCTGGTAGTACTGGCTGACATTTCTTGCTCCTGGAGCCTAAGATTCGACAAAACTACAAAGGGAGATGGGATCTTACGCTATCGCATCTGCTTCTTGACGTATACATTCTACAAGTGCGAATGTATCTTTTTATAGTCCATGAAGTTGGTTAACAACTAAACTAAACCATAATAATGGCAGTATATGTATTTTCTGGAAACCTGTAGCTTCATTGGTGTCTAGCTGTGTAGGCATAGTCAAATGTTTAGTTTTCGCCTCATCAGTTTCTCAAATTTTCTCTCCCTTCTGCTTTTAGTCTCGTTGTACAGCATAGTGTCAGATTAGGATTGTGATAAAGCCTACACCACGATTTGTCTTCTTTGAGGGGGTCTGTGCAACGGGTTATGGGGTTTGCGGGTGCTGGAAGCTCTTGTTTTGGGTCAATAGTGTAATTGACACCCTTTTTTTCGCTTTTATAATGTGTGCTAAACGCTTTTTTTTTTTGTAATGCATCGAAAGTTTTTTAACGCCAGACGTTGTTTTGGTTTTGTAGAGTATTGGACTATCTGTAATGTTCAGAATCCATTGCTTTGAGTCTCTGTAGTGCATATAATCTCATTTTGGGGCTCTGTACTGCATATAATAACTCATTTTGGGGCTCTATAGTGCACATAATCACTCATTTTGGGGCTCTGTAGTGCACAGAATCATTCATTTTGGGGCTCTGTACTGCATATAATAACTCATTTTGGGGCTCTATAGTGCACATAATCACTCATTTTGGGGCTCTGTAGTGCACAGAATCATTCATTTTGGGGCTCTGTAGTGCACAGAATCACTCATTTTGGGGCTCTGTAGTGCACAGAATCACTCATTTTGGGGCTCTATAGTGCACATAATCACTCATTTTGGGGCTCTGTAGTGCACAGAATCATTCATTTTGGGGCTCTGTAGTGCACAGAATCATTCATTTTGGGGCTCTGTAGTGCACAGAATCACTCATTTTGGGGCTCTGTAGTGCACAGAATCACTCATTTTGGGGCTCTGTAGTGCACAGAATCGCTCATTTTGGGGCTCTGTAGTGCACAGAATCGCTCATTTTGGGGCTCTGTAGTGCACAGAATCGCACATTTTGGGGCTCTGTAGTGCACAGACTCACTCATTTTGGAGCTCTGTAGTGCACAGAATCGCTCATTTTGGAGCTCTGTAGTGCACAGAATCGCTCATTTTGGGGCTCTGTAGTGCACAGACTCACTCATTTTGGAGCTCTGTAGTGCACAGAATCGCTCATTTTGGAGTTCTGTAGTGCACAGAATCGCTCATTTTGGGGCTCTGTAGTGCATAGAATCACTCATTTTCGGGCTCTGAAGTGCACAGAATCACTCATTTTGGGGCTGTGTAGTGCACAGAATCGCTCATTTTGGGGCTGTGTAGTGCACAGAATCGCTCATTTTGGGGCTGTGTAGTGCACAGAATCGCTCATTTTGGGGCTGTGTAGTGCACAGAATCGCTCATTTTGGGGCTGTGTAGTGCACAGAATCACTCATTTTGGGGCTCTGTAGTGCACAGAATCACTCATTTTGGGGCTGTGTAGTGCACAGAATCGCTCATTTTGGGGCTGTGTAGTGCACAGAATCGCTCATTTTGGGGCTGTGTAGTGCACAGAATCGCTCATTTTGGGGCTGTGTAGTGCACAGAATCGCTCATTTTGGGGCTGTGTAGTGCACAGAATCGCTCATTTTGGGGCTCTGTAGTGCACAGACTCACTCATTTTGGGGACGCTGCTCTGCGTATCAGTGGCGTCATATAGCTTACATTGTGGACCTGCAAATACTCCTTTTTATCATAATTAAGTCTTGATGCAACTATTCTAGACTATAACCTATACTACCATGAAGGATTACATAGTGCGTCAAAACCGAGTTATGAAATGCTAATTAAGATATCCTCATCTTGCAGGATTGTTAAACATACAGGAGCATGTGGTCAGTAGCGTATGTTTGGAAATTTTTGGATTCTGTATGAGGATATTCTTTAGAACACGAGTGAATAAAGTAATGACAACGCTTCGTGTAGTACCTCGTGTCGCCAGGTCTGAAGGATCTAATGACTGGACATTTCAATAATGTAGTGTGTGTAGACATTTCAATAATGTAGTATGATCACGGAGATTACACATGGAATGCTCAGGGTTGTGAGATTCGTCACCTGTAGCCACCTGCCACTGGTAACGGGGACCCAATACTCTACTGTATTTATATTTCAAATGTATTTTATAGAAATACAAATAATTATTATTGTGTGTTTCTGTCTTGTCTTTTATTTTCTGTAACAATTTCCTCGTTTTGAAAAGCAAGTAAGGTTTGTTGCAATTTAAGAATTATTAGGGAGCTAAATAATTATAATAATAATAATTTATATTTATATAAAATGCATTTGAGACACGATACAGTAGAATATTTGTGTGTACACAACGTAAATTATATTAAATAAAGCCACTAAAGGTTGATTGGAAGCTTCAGCGTCAGAATACGTTTACGGACATCCTGTTTGATTAAGTTCATGATCATCACTTTTGACAGACAGTCAGGATGAGGAAATCTCTGGCTCTTGCACCAAACATGGTGCTTCCTCTCATTCCTGTCCTCGAGCGCCGATGTCGTTATAAAGTGACAGTTGTATATTATTTTCCCATTATCAGAGGGACAGGAACCCTACTGGGCTTACCGACATACATATAAAATTATACAAGCATTTTATAAATAGGAATTTTGCCTATTACGCCATACAGTAACTATACTGTGCTAGAATAAACTGTAATGGAAAGTCTTGCGGTGATACAAGATAATTTAATTTCAAATTTACAGAGCCTGGTTTATTTTAATGAATGTGAGATACAGAAAATGATAAATACAGATTTATTTGCTCCACGAGGCTGTAGCGTAATGTCGTTGACATGCGTGACTAAATTTAACTTTTTATAGATGTAAGTGAATGTGGTGAAGTTTCGATTGTTTTTGTTTGTACAGATGTGCATAAAGAAACTTTGCACTGGTTCTTTGAGAGAGTTCTTAGGCTACGTGTTTTGTGACCGCCAAGTTTACACATGAAGGCCACAGCTGTATCCGCGGCCGGCAAAATAAAAAATCTAGTGAGTAGACAAATTTGTTTTAGTAAGAAAATGTGTGTATCAAGCTACATATTACAGTATATGAAGGTTTTTGTTGTCTTTACAGCACCAGAACGCAATAATAACCGTAGCGAGCACCTTGATTGATTGGTGAAATCTCCCTAGCGACAGCTGGATCATTTATAGACCAAGAAGAATTAATAATTGCAAGGTAAGATGTAGTCAGATCCACTTTGTTCTAAACAATGTTTTGATAATACGAAAAATCTCTAGTGAGAAATATGTGAAAATTGGGTGTGAAATATACCGGGAAAGGCCCGATATGGTTCACACAAAGGTAAATTGATGTTTTTGAAGTGGTTATGTGTCAATTTTGTTAGTCATGTAAAAGTTAAAGATGCGTGAAAACACTAATTCACAGTTTGTTAATTAAGAACACAATTAGTGACTGATAACATTTTTGCAACAGAAATTAACTACTGTTCTACACTTAGGTAATTACACAAACACACATTGATTGACAGTTGATAGGTGGGACCAAGGAGCCAAAGCTCAACCCCCCACAAGCATAACTAGATGAGTACACACACACACACACACACACACACACACACACACACACACACACACACACACACACACACACACACACACACACACACCAGCAATAAAACAAGCAATAAGGAACTATACGGCAGAGTAGAGAGGCAGAAAGAAAATTTGGGAAAGATATATCGACTGATGGTAGGTGTATCAAAGATTAGTGTAGCGACTCGTGGAAGGTGTATCAAAGATTAGTGTAGCGACTCGTGGAAGGTGTATCAAAGATTAGTGTAGCGACTCGTGGAAGGTGTATCAAAGATTAGTGTAGCGACTCGTGGAAGGTGTATCAAAGATTAGTGTAGCGACTCGTGGAAGGTGTATCAAAGATTAGTGTAGCGACTCGTGGAAGGTGTATCAAAGATTAGTGTAGCGACTCGTGGAACATTTATCAAAGTTTAGTGTAGCGACTCGTGGAACATTTATCAAAGATTAGTGTAGCGACTCATGGAAGGTGTATCAAAGATTAGTGTAGCGACTCGTGGAAGGTTTATCAAAGATTAGTGTAGCGACTCGTGGAAGGTGTATCAAAGATTAGTGTAGCGACTCGTGGAAGGTTTATCAAAGATTAGTGTAGCGACTCGTGGAAGGTGTATCAAAGATTAGTGTAGCGACTCGTGGAACATTTATCAAAGATTAGTGTAGCGACTCGTGGAACATTTATCAAAGATTAGTGTAGCGACTCGTGGAACATTTATCAAAGATTAGTGTAGCGACTCGTGGAACATTTATCAAAGATTAGTGTAGCGACTCGTGGAACATTTATCAAAGATTAGTGTAGCGACTCGTGGAACATTTATCAAAGATTAGTGTAGCGACTCGTGGAAGGTGTATCAATTAGCACATGTCCTTGAATAGGGATATCATAGTCATCCAACAAAATCTTATAAAATAAATTCAATTATTCATAAAATTGGGTCTTCGTAGAAATCGGAGAGAAAGTAGAAACAAATATTGGCTGAGTTGATAAATTGTGTTCAGAATAAACCATTAGGGTTTGTTAATTTGCTCTCGCAGAGTTAGCAAAAACTGGTGGCGGCGCTAATGGTCACAGTCCAGTATTATTGGCACGTATCTTGTGTGAATTTAAATATACATGTGGATATTTAATTATAACGGTTATCGCTGGAACGTCATTTATTTTTACCTGATCTTAGTGATGATAACGGATATGTGCACGTTTTCTGTATTTAGGGTTTCTTTAAAAGGTTTATCATATTTTTGCATGTGATTGGAGAAGAGTGACTGTCGAATTGTCACTGTAAATAATAATAATTTGTCACTGTAAACAATTTGCTTCTGTACGAATGTACGGAAATGTACGAACGCATTCAACCCACCTAACACATCGCTGCCGATGCTTAAGAAACGTCAATCACAGTGCGGTTTATATCTTTAGTAATACGTCGCATTGTTAATGGTTTGGTTGATTGCGTACAAAATGCGAGGGGAAAAGATGACAGGACGGGGATGATTAGCGGCGGTGATGCAGCGGTTTGGGTCGACGGCCATCAAACTGGTTCGCTTGACGTGGTGTCGTTAATAAATCATTTAATGGTCAAGATGGGAGTTGATGTGGGTCGACCCTGTCACTCATTGGTGTGTGTGTGTGTACTCGCCTATTTGTGCTTGCGGGGGTTGAGCTCTGGCTCTTTGGTCCCGCCTCTCAACTGTCAATCAACTGGTGTACGTACAGGTTCCTGAGCCTATTGGGCTCTATCACATCTATCTGTGTGTGTGTGTGTGTATGTGTGTGTACATTCGTGCTTGCAGATTCGAACATCTGCCTTTTCACCATTAGTGGTAAATTCATTGACCTTTTCACTCGGTTATCATATCATAATTATAACTATTGAGTTGACTTCGACAACTTCCTCATCTAATCTGTTCCATTCATTTATGATTGACTAAAAAGCAGAAAATGATCGCATCTCTGTAACTCATCTGTGTTTCCGGTTTTTAATTATATAATGGGTATAAATTGGGTATGAAAACATAAGAATGGAAGTAACTGCAGAAGGTCTATTGGCCCATACTTCCTCTTGCTGCTTCCATATTGGTTCGGGGTCTTGAAGTAGGTAGAATATAGTTGTGCATTAATTGGCTGTTGATTGCTGGTGTTGACTTTTAGAAAAACAAAAAAAAGTATTGACTCCAAAAAAGTCAACACCAGCAATCAACAGCCAATTAATGCAGAACTATATTCTACCTACTTCAAGACCCAGAACTAACATAGAGGCATCAAGAGGAAGTATGGGCCAATAGGCCTTCTGCAATTACTTTCATTCTTATGTTTTCATACCCAATTTATACCCATTATTTCGTGTTCTGGCATATGCTCTATCACCTCACCCAAAACTTTTGTACCATATCACCTCACCCAAAACGAGTATCAGTATGATACTCGTTTCATTTCATAAACTACATCAGTATGATGTATTTTATGTGTAAACTAAGTCTTTGAAAATGTAATAAGCATTACGAAACGCGTTCAGGCGTCAGACCAGAAATAAAGAATGAATTTTGGAGAGTTAATTTATCAATTGCTCTCGACAGTGAAGAAGAATGTAAGAAATATTGAGAAGATTCGTGTTAGAATTATTAATGTTACCCTTTCGGTCATATTCAACAACATTATATATATATATATATATATATATATATATATATATATATATATATATATATATATATATATATATATATATCCCTTGGATGCATCCCACACCAGTGTCTAGGAACCTATTTGCTGCTAGGTGAACAGAGGCATCAGGTGTGTGAAGGGAAGGAGCATCCCTTACGAATTTTCCCGAATACATAAGCTAACACTCACCTCGCATCCTCATAAACATTCGCACACTCACACGAATCACAGTGTTTCTCGTAACCTCATGTATACTGTAGAGAGAGAGAGAGAGAGAGAGAGAGAGAGGGAAAGAGAGAGAGAGAGAGAGAGAGAGGTAACTCCAAGCCACAAAAGACTTACATCAACAAACCCCTGCGGGAGAGAGAGAGAGAGGGAGGTAACTCCAAGCCACAAAAGACTTACACCAACAAACCCCTGCGGGAGAACAAAAAATAAGAGCCAGAATTGTGTTGTCATGGCACATGTGTTTTGTTATGTATATAAAATGGTTTAGGATGATTAAGGGGAAAGAATGGGCTTAGGGCGAGGGGTGGAGAGGCCGCCCTCACTGCCGCCTGGGGGGGCGCTCACAGGTTTTCCCCCGCGGCCACGTACCCTTCCTTTCTCCCGCCCCGGTGGATGTGCTGCTACTTGTGCTGACCACGGTGGATATGCTGCCGCACGGTGGATATAATGCTACTTGTGTGGCCCAGAGTAGATATGGTGGGGTGGGTGAGGATGCAGCACGGGTCGCTACCTCTCCCTGGAACTTCTTGCTCCATGTACCTGCAGTCAGGCAGGCAGGCAGGCAGGCAGGCAGGCAGGCAGGCAGGCAGGCAGGCAGGCAGGAAGGCAGTGTCCACGAAGCCAGGCAGGTCAAGGCATCTATGAGCCTGGCTATACCCAAACAAGGCGCGGTATACCCAGGTGCCCGCTATACCTTATGCGGTGCCGACCACTGTGACAGGTCACCGTAGGTCACCGGGTCACCAGGGGTCACGACTGTGATCAACTTATCACCGTGCTGGAGAACTACTCGAG